CTATTTGTCTTACATATCTTACCCAATTTTTGTATATTAATGTTTTAGGGTTATGCATGCATTGAGGGGATAGGTTATATAATCAAACCTATAAAGCTTTACCTTTAGGATTTCTGCCTTTATTTATTTATGCATTTATTTGTTTGTTTATTTTTGAGAGAGAGAGTATGAGCAGAGAGGGGCAGAAGAAGAGGGAGAGAGAGAAACTTAACCAGGCTCCACACCCAGTACAGAGCCTGATGCAGGGCTTGATCTCACTACCCTGAGATCATGATCTGAGCTGCAATCAAGAGTTGGTCAGTTAACTGACTGAGCAACCCAGGCGCCCCTAGGATTTCTGCCTATAATGCAATGCTTCAAATGACATTCTTCATCCCACAATTACTTTTAATCAAGTTTTATTTTCCATAAATAATTGTATAGTTTCATTAGAGAACATTCAAAACCTTAGTGTGTCTGAATTTATTTTACTGTGTGTAATGATGTTGTATAAATTGCACCAAATAGGAATTATATTTTAGATATGTGACCTATGAACTTATGAACTAAATATTTATTTTTTAAAAATATTTTTATTTATTTATTCTTGAGAGACAGAAAAAGAGTCAGAGGGAGAAGCAGGATCCCTGTGGGGACCCTGATGTGAGACTCAATCCCAGGACCCTAGGATCACCACCTGAGCTGAAGGCATACACTCAACCACTGAGCCACCCAGGTGCCCTGAACTAATTATTGCTTAATGTGCAATATTTATTACCACAAACCATTATGATTAATTTATATTTCCTTCCATCCACGTTATGCTGAGTGAAGTAAGTCAATCGGAGAAGGACAAACATTATATGTTATTCATTTGGGGAATATAAATAATAGTGAAAGGGAATAGAAGGGAAGGGAGAAGAAATGTGTGGGAAATATCAGAAAGGGAGACAGAACATAAAGACTTCTAACTCTGCGAAATGAACTAGGGGTGGTGGAAGGGGAGAAGGGCGGGGGGTGGGGGTGAATGGGTGATGGGCACTGAGGGGGCACTTGACCGGATGAGCACTGGGTGTTATTCTGTATGTTGGTAAATTGAACACCAATAAAAAATAAATTTGTTATAAGAAAATTTATATTTCCTTTGTTATTTTACTGATTAACAAGAATTTAAAGGAATTGTTTTACCATATTTTATTCACTCATTCATTCAATAACTATGAAACCCCTATACCTAGTATTTATAAAAAGGTTCTCAATGCACACTTGTTGAATGAATGCATACAATATACCAGGTACTGTTCTAATAGCAGAAACACAGAGGTGAATAAGACATGCAAGGTCTTTCCTCTCGTGGAGATTGTGTGTGTATGTGTGTGTGCATGTACACATCTGTATTTTGTTTATTGTGAAATGTGGAAAGTGATAAACAAGTAAATAGATAAAATAACGCCAGATGGTGATAAAGGCTATGATTTAGCAAGCGAGCATCTCAATAACTCAGCCCATTAGATTAATTACAAAGCCTGTTATTTACACTTGTCATTTGGACTGAGCTGAGCACTTTAGATTATCTTACTTGGGGCAAGACCACCCCCAGCTGTCCCTGATCTAGCACTTCCCCATTGTCTGCTTCTGCAGGAGTGAGACCCAAGAGCTGTCCGACCGCTGGCCCCTGCCTCCCCTGTTGGCTCCCAAGGGCTCCTTCCTTCCCACTGGGGACAGTAACAGAAGGTGCTGCTGCCTTTTCAGGCAAGGAGAAGCTCCGACTGAGGGGAGGAGACACGGTGTGCTCAGGGTGAGTGGGGGTTTGGCACGAGGGTTCCTGGGGCACAGTGTGCGATGACTCCTGGAGCCTGGCAGAGACCGAGGTGGTGTGCCAGCAGCTGGGCTGTGGCTCTGCCCTGGATGCCCTGCAGAAGGCGGCATTTGGGCCAGGAACTGGGAACATCTGGCTGGATGAGATGAAATGCAAGGACAGAAGGAACAGGGTATTGGACCAGGATCCAAGGACATATGAGTTTATATCCAGAAGCACTTCCTGGACTAACTTTGTATTGTGCTCTAGCTTCAGGAGAGGCTATTGCCTGATCTTCTGGGATATGGGGGAGAACAATATGCCACTGATGTAGGTGCAACCCCATGGCTTTTTCAGGCTAACTCAACACATTCTTCTTCTTTCCAGATGAGGGGACAATGGTTCCCCCCCATTCATGCAAGTAAGTGGTTCTTCTACTCTGAGCCATATGAAGAAAGAGACACCCATATTTCCAGGGACCTGCACTATGGAATCTACATATTTATGGAAAAATTAACCATGCCAATATAAGAAAGTCCTAATGATCAGGTATTCATAGTCCTATTAAGTTGTGGCAGCTGTTATGTTTCAAAGATTTACCAGCTTTCATTTTATAAAAATCCCTTAGAACCAGATTTATAAGACAGTTGACACAGCTCACGGCAGGACCTAGGTCAATCACATCTTAAGATTCAAGTAGATCCATTGTATCTGAATGATGATTTCATGGTCTTGAGGACTCGGGAGATGGCTAGAGTATGGGGGATTCTCCTAGGTTAATGACCTTCTCTAAAATCTCATGCCCCTCTTTTCTCCTCAGGCACCAGTTCAGGCTCAGCTCCTATTCCTGGTATCTTCTCCCCACCTGGGATACTCTCTGTATCATCCTGAGGGATCTTCTTTCCCTGGTCCTTGTCATCCCAGTGACTCAGCTACACAGGTGGAAAGCAGAGCACTAAAGTGTACCTTAGGGATGCTAAAGGATCTGGAAAATAGTGGGAAGACTATTAAGCCAGTTGTGATATCAAGAAAAGTGCACAAGCACTGGTCTCAGTCCTCATATAGCAAAACTCTACTTTCTCTGCAATAGACTTTAAGAATTGAAAGATTTGAATCCTTGGCCCTGGGCTGAATATAAAATCTCTCAAAAATTATGACTTCCTATGTGAACATGTTGGTGGAAACTGAAAAATTGGTGGAAACTGAAAGCTTGTAGTAGCCAGCTTTCTATTTTGGCTTTGTTGACACCATTTATCAGAAGTAAAATATAATAATCTTGGTGGTTATACTTTATTCCATCATTGACTTCATTATTTCCCTATGGCAAATGGCCATGTATATTGCACTGAGAGAAATCTTGAGCATCTTCTAATCCCCCTCCCCTGTGAAAAATTATGATGACTGCAAAGTGATTGTAGATTGGAACCCCTGACAACATCCAGAGTCATCAATTAAGTAGTAAGAGGTTGGGCTCAGCTCATAACCAGGTCATTACTCTCAGTTCTAATACTATGTGATGGGGGGTTTGGAGACATAATCTTTCCTTGGCTATTGCTACAGAATAGCTCTCTCCATCTTGAGGAATCATATTTGCATTGTAGATAGTCAACGCAATCTTGGAGCAATATGTTTTCAGAGAAGAAACCCACTGGACTCAAATTCTTCCTCTTATAGTTCAATCACATCAAATCCCTCCATCCACATTTATAAAACCCACATAGCTGATAGTTTCTGGTTTGTCTGTCTACAATTCCTTCTAGATCTCCTCTGCCTCAGCCTTCTTGTCCCACTTGGATGCAAGTCTGTAGATAAGTGGCAAATTGTCCTTTATCAACTTGCAGTAAAGAAATATGAGTTGATATAATTCCCCTAGAAGGCTTTATAATTGGGCGGACAGGAAATGACAACATCCTGAAGAAATAGGAAGTAGTGATGGAGAGGAAAGACTGAATTTAAAAGGAGTTGAGGGCAGCCTGGGTGGCTCAGCAGTTTAGCGCCGCCTTCAGCCCAGGGCGTGATCCTGGAGACCCAGGATCGAGTCCCACATCAGGTTCCCTGCATGGAACCTGTTTCTCCCTCTGCCTGTGTCTCTGCTTCTCTCTCTGTCTCTCTCATGAATAAATAAATAAAATCTTTAAAAAAAAATAAAATAAAAGGAGTTGATAACCAACTAGACATGAGAGAAGAGTGAGAAGGAATCTGTATGAGCTTGAGTAAGTAACAAATCGAAAAAGTAACCTACAGAATAAGAGCTTAAATAGGAAGATATAGTTATGGAGAATTGGATTTTTAAAATTTTACTTATTTATTTATTTTTGAGAGAGAGAGAGCAAGTGCATGAGCAGGGGGGAGGGGCAGAAGAGGAGGAGAGAGTCTTAAGCAGGCTCCACACTCAATTCAGCACAGAGCCCAATCTAGGGCTGGATCTCACAACCATGAGATCATGACCTGAGCTGAAACCAAGAGTCAGATGCTTAACTGAGTGAGCCATCCAGGTACCCCAACTTGGATTTTTAATTGAGCCACAAAAATTTGGGCAAGATATGGAAAACTGTATCCCTTCTCTCCCACTAGCCAACCTCCCACCTTCAACTTTGAAATTCCTACCTAAGTATGGTGCCTAGGAATTGTTTAAAAACAGATGATATGAGCCCCGGTGGCTCAGTGGTTTAGTGCTGCTTTCAGTCCAGGGCGGGATCCTGGAGACCCAGGATGGAGTCCCGCATCGGGCTCCCTGCATGGAGCCTGCTTCTCCCTCTGCCTCTCTCTATATGTCTTTCATGAATAAATAAAAATTAAAAAAAAACAGGTGATATGACATCTCAAAGAAGAGCATACATGAATGTTCAGGTCTGGTTTTTTTCCCATGAGTTCATCATAGTAAGAATGAAGGTATGAGTATGGACTAAATTTAGAGTCCCTTGCCTAAGAAAGAGACCTGGAACATTTGTGAACTCAGGTAAAGTAATGCCTAGAGTAGTCTGTAGGGGAGGTGAGAAAACAGGTCAGTTCATTCACCTTGTATTTCCTTTGAGGGAAAATGTGAATGGAGATAAAACCTGCTAAATAATCAACAAAGCAAAAAGTACTTTATTCAGAATATTTAATTTTAATTAATTTCCATATAATTCAATTATAAGTCACGATTGAAATATCGGCAATTAAATATCTGAGACCTTATCTCATTTTTAATGCAATATCGGGGGGGAAATATAGTGAGTGTTTAAGGTACATTTAGTTCAGTATCATCATACCCAGGGTCCCCTTCCCCCTGGAGCAGCCAGGGACTATCTTCTCCTTTCTCAGGTCCAGCTACTCCTCTAGAGAGCTGTAGAGAAGAGCCTGAAACAGTAAAGACAAGTTTGATTAGAACTGTGACAAAGGGAGAGGACAGTGCCCCACAGTGGAAGCAAGTCAAGTAAGTGGTGATGACAAAGTTTCAGGTAGACTCAGACAATTTAATATTAGTTACAACACAGATACATCAAGGTTATTGCATCAGGTTCCAGTTCTGTGGGTCTCTGGGAAATCCTGTTGTCACAGGAGATCTAGGTCAACACAGATGTTCTATGAAGGCATGTTTCTCAGCAAAGAGATGGCCCAAGGATGACAAGAATCATAAGAAAGGCCATGAAAATTTCTCCTTTTACAATTGACAGGTCTGAATTCAGTAGAAGGAGGACACAGGAGACCTGGAAAAAAATCTCAGTTCCTCCCTGACCATCTATCTCTGCTCTTGATGGCCTTGATTTGTGTTCCCAAATGCCCACAATCACAGGATCCTTCTGTAGTTGCCACCTTCCCAGAGTCACATGCCCTAGATGGAGAAATACTCTTCTCTGGAGAATTAATATATTCATTAGACCACTGAAACATCTGGAGCAGATTGGCCCTTTAATGCCCATAATTCAGACTCTATAATCTACCACCATGGCTTTAATTTTCAAGACTACCATATATCATAGACTTTGTGCATATTAGTGCTAATATATGATTATAATGCATCTTAAATTATTAAAATGCCTCATAAATTCCAATATTGCAATATTTCTTAAGTCTCTAAATGCCTTTCACATATGAGAGCACAAACATGTTATCAGAACAATTGTTCTATTTTTGGACTTGATTAATTTATAAGTCTTAATGCAAGCACATCAAAGATGAAGTTATGGAGATGCAGATATCAAGAATATAGAAAGATTCTTCCCTCCCAAGAAATGTGAGAGCACTAAAGAGAGGAAAATGGTCAAAGGATATAGATCTTCTGAATTTTGACTCTATAGGAAGGATCGGCAGTGCGGGGCTGAAGTTCACCCCTTCGAGGACAGAGACAAAAGATTACGAGAGATCCACTCACCTGCCTGAAAGGCCCTCATCCCATTTTCCTCCTCTGGGGGCACTTCCCCCTTCCTCATCCAAGAGGCAGGGGCAGTCTCAGGCACTGGTAGGTCTTCAGCATCATAACCCTCACTGGGGGCATCAGTCCTCTGAGCTGGGGGTTTTAAGGACAGACAAGGGGTTCAGATGAAACCACAGTAAATGGGTTGACCTAGGTAATATCTACAATCCCTTCTGCCACAGAGATTCTGATGGCTGCTGAACAGAGACACTATTCACCCTGTGTTTTAACAAGTCTTTTCCAAGGTATATATTTCATTTTGATGTGTCCATAAACCAGAAAAATAATCTGAACATCCCTATATTTCCTCGTTTAAACTACATATTTCAGAGACACTCTTACACCAATGTGCATTACTAAAATATTTGGTCAGTTACACTTTCCAAATGTTATTTTTTCAAAACAGCGTGAATTTGTTGGGACTGAATGAGGGTGGTTCTGGACACAGACAGCCCAGCCTCACCATGAAGTACATCAGAGCAATCAGAGAAGGAGAAGAGAAGAGACTTCTAATCCTAGTCAAAGGGAGACTGTCCCTCTTGAATCTCATCTCTAGGAAGGAAAGTCACGTGCTCCCAATACCCAGCCGAGGTGGATTCACCCCTACTACCTGGAGCAGACTGAAAGTCACTGTTCTCCTCACGATCTCCAGGGTAATATGGCAGTTTAGGCACGGATTCATCTGACAGGGCCCCTAGTGTGGAGAAAAACATCACAAAACAAAAAGAACACACCTTCTCACACCCATGGGACCTGTGGTAAGGCTGAGAAGAAATGCTGGAGCACATGTGGCTCCTGTTGTATAAAGAGAAGGCTCAGAGCTCACAGGAGCTCAGCAGAAACCCATCCTTCAGTCTTTGGAGGGGCTGCTCCTGTGAGCCTGGAATAGATAATGGGTCTGCAGATTCTGAGAAGCCTTGGCTCACAGACAGCAGGGAGCTAACACCTAGGGGGCCCAGGAGGATAAGGCAGGGATACACACCAGTGCTGTCCAGCAGATCTTCCTTCGTTGTCACAACATGATCGATCTCCTCATACTCAGCCTCATTAAGAACATATCTGAAACTGGGGAAGGCTGAGCAAACCACCAGCTAGTGAGAAATTGCCCCCTGAGTTCATCCCTGAAACAATAAGCTAATCATTCTCCCCAGTGCTTGCACATGGAAAAAGCCTCGGGGCTTCCAGGACTCCTCATACCCCAAGCACCATGTCTACATCTTCTCCCTCTCCCCTGTCTAACCCTGTATCCATAGCTCGGCCTGTATTCAATCTTGTCTCACATAGAAGCCATGACTTATGAGTGCTCACACTCCAACCTTAAAAGCTTCTACAGATTCAGCCCTTCGAGTTTAACAAGGGGCAGATGAAGTTTTTCAAACATATTTCCGCCCCCCCCCCTTGTACCTGGCCAGATCTGCCTCCACACACTCTCCATGTTACCCTGTACCCTCTGTAGCCTACCTCTTTGCTTTGCTCTCCATCTGCACATCTGAGTCACCAGGATGACGAGGACCAGGAAGAGAAGGGCCCCCAGGATGAAGCAGAACATCTCAGACAGGGAGAAGATGTCATGGACAAGACTTGGGCCTTGTCTGATCCCTAAGGAGAATAAAACCAATAGGATTTGGAGAAGGGCATGGGCCCAGGGAAACTCCCTCCAGAGCACCTGGGACAAGGAAGTCCCAGCCTCAGACCTAACCAAATTGACTGACCCTGGAAGGCACTCCCCCAGGCCTTGTCCTAAGATAAATTCAACTCCACTCCAGTGAGATCCAAGGGAGTGCTGGGATTAGCAGACAGCTTCCCTGCTGCAACAGCCTCAGAGGACCAAACCACATAGCTGCGGCCTCCTTTCTTCAGGCCTCACCAGACCAAAACATCAAGCAACTCCTGGGATGAGCATCTTGCTGTGGAGGAGCGACACTCATGGGCAGACGGGAAAACCTTAGATTCTGCAGCACAGGAACCAGACTCCCTTGGCCCAAGGGCAAGAGAAATTTGAAAGGAATAAGAAGAAGCTTCCTTAAGGAAAATACACTAAGGCCTCCCCACCAGCTGATGGCTCCTTAGGATCTTCCCTTTTCTGAATTGGTTAATTCTGTCAGATTCCACAGAATAGACCTCAAGAATCTGAATATTTGACCTTGCCTACAGATGGTGGCTGCAGTAGATAGCACAGGGCAGCCCCTTTTCCCTACATCTTAATTACCACAACATCAAGGTTGAGACTTCCCCTTCTTCTAGATCAGAGCTTACAGCACCTAGATACCTTTTGAATGCAAACTTCCCATTTTACCCAAGCCTACCCCATTGCCCCACTCTTGCTCCAGCTCCACCAGAGCCACTCACCAGAGCACCGCACTCCAGCATCATCCTCGTGCTTGCAGTCGTTCTGCCCCCAGGGGTCCGCAGCACAATCCCACAGGGAGGACTCCCTGCCCCTGCATTTCACCTCATCCAGCCAGATGTTCCCAGTTCCTGGCCCAAATGCCGCCTTCTGCAGGGCATCCAGGGCAGAGCCACAGCCCAGCTGCTGACACACCACCTCGGCCTCTGCCAGGCTCCAGGAGTCATCACACACTGTGCCCCAGGAACCCTCGTGCCAAACCTCCACTCGCCCTGAGCACACCGTGTCTCCTCCCCTCAGTCGGAGCTTCTCCTTGCCTGAAAAGGCAGCAGCACCTTCTGTTACTGTCCCCAGTGGGAAGGAAGGAGCCCTTGGGAGCCAACAGGGGAGGCAGGAGGGGCTGATGTACCTGTGCAGGGGCCAGCGGTCGGACAGCTCTTGGGTCTCACTCCTGCAGAAGCAGACAATGGGGAAGTGCTAGATCAGGGACAGCTGGGGGTGGTCTTGCCCCAAGTAAGATGATCTAAAGTGCTCGGCTCAGTCCAAATGACAAGTGTAAATAACAGGCTTTGTAATTAATCTAATGGGCTGAGTTATTGAGATGCTCGCTTGCTAAATCATAGCCTTTATCACCATCTGGCGTTATTTTATCTATTTACTTGTTTATCACTTTCCACATTCCACAATAAACAAAATACAGACGTGTACATGCACACACACATACACACACACAATCTCCACGAGAGGAAAGACCTTGCATGTCTTATTCACCTTTGTGTTTCTGCTATTAGAACAGTACCTGGTATATTGTATGCATTCATTCAACAAGTGTGCATTGAGAACCTTTTTATAAATACTAGGTATAGGGGCTTGATAAATATTTTTCAATGAATGAGTGAATAGAATGCAGTAAAACATAATTCCTTTAAATTCTTGCTAATAAGGAAGATAATAAAGGAATGCAAATTGATATTAGTGGTTTGTGGTAATAAATAGTGGATATTTTTTAAAGTCCAGAATCACAGAAGTAATTTGTATTCAATATCCTATTATATTTTAATGGGAAATTATATAGCACATTGTAAACTTTTCTTATCTATTTTTCAGGATGATGTGTGCACAAGCAAAGATTACTACATTAAGGAGATATTTTGGGGGGCACCAGAGCGGCTCAGTCAGCTAAGCACCTGCCTTCAGTCCAGGTCATGGTCCTGGGATCCTGGGATTGAGCCCCACATCAGGCTCCCTGCTCAGCAGGGAGTCTGCTTCTCCCTCTGCCCTCCTCTTCATTTGTGCACTCTCTAAATAAATACATAAAATCTTTAAAAACATTTAAAAAATGTTTTTAAAAGAGGATATTTTTTGCCAAAAACTGAAATAAGTAGGATTCAGAGAAAAATATATTAAGTAGACAGTGGCTAGGTCCTAAGACATAAATGTTTGCATGATACGCAAATATACTGAGAAAAAATACATTGAGAGACAACACAGATAACAAATATGGTATAAAAAAAACATAAAAAATTGAAACCAAAGGAAAAACATAAATTTGAAACAATATAAGAAAACTGACGTATACAAAGTACTTGTCATAAGATATCAGAATTAGCATATCCTTTTCATATTATCCTATCAAACTTCCTACCCTATGAACATCTCAGAAAATGATGGCAGGACCTCTTTAGGGTGGTTGCTCACTTTCAGGACTGGAGACCTCACTATCACCCAACTCATCATATTTGATTGTAGACAATTATCATCCATGTAAGTTCTGATAGTTTAATATCTAATCAGCTTTCCACAGGAACAAGAAAAGGAGGTGAGGAAAGAGAAGGAAGGGAAGGGAGTGAGCCTCTGCCTTTGAAATATCTATCACCACGCTCTCCCTCAGCTGTGGACTTCAGCCAACTCCTAGCAGATCACCCAAGTTATACCTGAGCTGGCAGGGAAGGGATGGGGGAACCAAGGAACTGGAAAAGAATGTTGAGAAAAGAGAAAACACTGAAAATGCAAAAAAAGTAAGAAAGGGAGGGAGGGAGAGAGGGGAGGAAGGAGGCAAAGAAGAAGGAAGGGATAGAGGGAAGGAAGGAGAAAGAAACCAGGAGCAAAGCGATTGTTACTCTTATTTCAGAGTTCAAATATTTTAGCATAAGACATGGGTTTTTTAAGCTTATTGATTTGGGAGGTTCTATATTATTTGTCTTTAATTCGTTATTTAAAACCTAAACATTTGGGGATCCCTGGGTGGCGCAGCGGTTTGGCGCCTGCCTTTGGCCCAGGGCGCGATCCTGGAGACCCGGGATCGAATCCCACATCGGGCTCCCAGTGCATGGAGCCTGCTTCTCCCTCTGCCTGTGTCTCTGCCTCTCTCTCTCTCTCTCTCTCTGTGTGTGTGTGACTATCATAAAAAATAATAATAATAAATAAAAAAAACCTAAACATTTATATCTAGATAAGAAGACAATTGAAAAGTTAGTCCTCAAAAGTAATTTGACAATATCTATTAAAATTTATGTGTGTGTGTTCTTTGATAGAATAATATCAACAGTGAGTAATCCTACAGTAAAAAAAACTCACCTGTATGTAGAAAATCATATACAAAAGTATTTATCATGGAAGAGGGAGGAGAGTTACCATGAACTGCTCCAGGGGCAGGACTCTCTTGCTAATGGATAAAGGTTATAAGGAGGCAGGTTTACATTGTTTATAAAGTGGGAAATCAAAACCAATCAGACTACCAATAAATAGGTAAATGGTTACATTAACTGCACTAGCAATCTGGATGAATGAAATACTATACCATTGATTTACAAATGAATTAGATCTACCTGGAGGAATATCCATGATATATTAGGCCAATATAACAATAATGTGTAGGGTATAATTCCAATTTTGTACAATCAAATGACAAGACACTATCAACATAAACCCTTTAAGAGCATATGAGTTTGGATATGTTTCAGTGAAAATGGATGATTTGGGAAAACAGAACATACCAGTCCATTAATCCTGTTTACAACAGGACGGTATGAAAGGACAAGGAGTCATGGGATATGATTCACTTCTCTTTCTACATTTTTATATTTGTATTCCCTGCTCATGATAAGTAAGCAGTGTTTTTGTAATTTAAATGAACAAGAAAGGAACTGATCTCTCTCTAAGTGTAAAAGAAACTAGTGGAAAGAACATGATTTCCCTAGTGCCACGCATGGTACAACCCCAGCAGGAGCAGGTGTCATTGATTCAGGAAAGAAACATAGAGACAGGCAAAAATAAATATAAGGGAAGGAGGCGCTGGCCATCCCATCATGACTCTGGTGTTTTTTACCTGATAGTATTATTAATTCCCTGAGGGACCATCACGAGGTGAGATACCTTTATGCTACTTGTACTTAAAATGGATCCAAATCTGCCTTCTTGTAACCTCTATCCATCAGCTGGAGTCCTGCCCCGTGGATTAGCTAGTTCATAGTGATTCTTTTCCTTCTTCCATGGTAAAGTCGTTCAAAGTCTGAGGTCAACAATCAAGTTACATCTGTTCTGGCATTTCTGCTAATTAGCCTAAGACGTCCTATGACAGTCCATAGAGTGTATTAGCTTCTAAAAGTTAGTGCTACTTGATGGAATGAGCACTGGGTGTTATTCTATATGTTGGCAAATTGAACACCAATTAAAAAATAAATTTATAAATAAATAAATAAATAAATAAATAAATAAATAAATAAAATAAAAGTTAGTGCTACTTGGAGTCTATTTTAGGATCATTTATATTCCCAGTGATCTCAACCACTCCTATCTAAGCATCTCTAAGACCACTCCCATATTTATATATCCCACCCAGATTTCCTTTCTAAATTCAAATCGTATACTTTAAAATGCCAAATGAAATCTCTACTTGAGTGTTCTGACCCACTTTAAATTTAGCATCTCCAAAACTGAGCCCATGAATTTCCTCTCATGAGTTTCTGTGTCTCCTATATTAGTAAAAAATCAATGTCATCCTTCCAGCAGCCACCCTTGCTCCTCCAAGCTATTGCAAGTCACTATTATGCATTTACATTTCCCCTGCAATAATCCTTTATCTTGTACTCAGAGGGATCTTTTCTTAATGCAAAATGACACTTCCCAGCTTAAAACACTTTCAGTTAGTTTTGATTATACCTTGATGAAAATATCTTTAATTGTAACTATGCAATCAAAAATATTATTATTTGATTCAAGAACTATTTTTTGTCTGTTGTATACCAGGTACTGACCACAGACAGCATTGGATGTACAGTGGTGAATATAATAGTCAAAGTCCTTGATCTCATGGAATTTACAAACTAATATGAGAGAGATAATCTGAAAATAAATAAATGATTGTTTCACATAGTAGTACTATGAAAAGCAAATATATATTATATATATTACATATATTTTTTTTACTGTAAAATGTATAATAGGTTGGGCAGAGGAACTGGAACCCTGCAGGAGATATTGAGAAAAGCAATCATTATATTCAGGGATAATCACAGAGTATCAAGAGTATGTCATAAAAAATTTTGGGAGAGGTAATAGCACTTAAGTTGATAAGAAGGCCCTCACCAAAAAGATGATATTTAATGTGAAAACTGAATGATGAGAAGTTGACAAGCAAGCAAGCAAATAGAAGAGCCAGTGCAAGGTCTTAGAATGAATAATACCATCTGTCTGGTAAAAAAAAAAAAAAATACCAAGGCACTACAGGATGGTCAGCCTGCCTTCCCTTACTTCCTCCATGCCTGGTTATTTCATGAACACAAAGAGAATCAATATGTGTACTAACTGAGTGGAAGAGTGTCTCCAGAAAAGGACTGAGTGGTGGGTAGGGGGCAGATTATATATATAGCTTTGCCAACCAGTATAGGTTCCTTAAAACAGGAAGCCCCTGGAGGCTTGTAAGCAAGAAACAAGATACAGACTAATTTTTAATACTTTTCTCTGTCAGCCAAATAGAAAATATTATAGAAGAAAAAGAGTGGACATGGAAGACCACGAGAAACTTTTGGAATAATTCAGGCAAGAAGACTAAGATAGTGACAATGGAAGGAATAGAGGCACTGAGAATATATTTGCAGATAGAGCCAGCAGAACTTACTGGAAGTGGATGGAGTCTGATAGGAAGACTAAAGAGTCTGATGCTGAACCCTAAAAGCATCCAAGATCTAGAGACTGAGCACAGGAGTTGTAAATCGGTAAGCAGAAGAACAACAATGAGGCCAAATAAGAACAATCAGTGAAGTCTAGTGATGTCAGGAAAAAAAAAAAAAAGAAGAAGAAGAGAAGTGAACCTGCTGAATACTGTTGTAAGTTCAGAAATACTGAAGAGAGGAAAGTTTGCTAAATTTAATTACTTTACCAATTCAGAAGAATGGTGGACCCTAATACTTAACTGGGTGAGTTTAGAACACTAGAGAACAGAAAATTATGAAAACCCTGAGTAGTTACTGACCATACTTTCAGAAACTTAGCTGAAGAGGAGAGAGAAGTGGGATGCACAATAACAAAGAAGTCAAGGAAAACTGTCTTTTCAGGTAGTTTTCAAGATGTGAGACACTCAAGCCCATATATACAATGATGAGAATAAACAGGAGACAAAGAGGGGGGAGGGAGTTGATGGTGCAAGGAAGAGGGAATAGAAGTGAAGACTTTGACAAGATAAGTGCAGTTAGGATCCACAGCCTGGGCAGAAGTGTTGACCTAAGATTAGGACTGAGGCCACTGATCCAGAAGGCCAAGTAAGTACAGAGTGTGTGCAGAGACCACATGTGAGTAGATTTGGTGAAAGGAAGATGAGGAATTCCCAGATGACTGTTCTAATTTCTCACTGAGGTAAGAGGCAGGATTATGATTTGAGAATAGATGAAGGGGATCAGGTGTTGACAATGCAAGAGAGCAGAAAATATGTAAAATATAATTTGAAAGATAGGGCAAGCACACATATTGGAGAAGTACTGTAGAACCCAGAGACACTATGGAATGCCCATTAGAGATTGTGTCCATGGATTCAAAAATAGACTAGCAACATGACTATGTGTTATTTCCCCACATTTCCCTTAGTCCAGTTCAGACAAGGAGTACTCAGGTAGTTGACTTTAACCAGGTCTAGAGTTTGCCAGGTGAGGTTGACAAAGAAAAGGCAAGGGAATTAAATAAACTAAAGGAGAATGATTATAATGTTGGATATATTATCTCATCTGGCTAAGAAAAAAAAATGTGCAGACATGAGGAGAGTAGGAAAAAAAAAGAAAAACTGACAAGGGAAAAGATTGGGCATCTCCACAAGAACGAGAAATTATTTGAAACAGAGCACTCAAATTCCCCTTTAAGAAGAAGTTCAGTGGAACAATCCACAAAAACAAGGACTAAATAGATATCATGATGACACTAAACTCATATCTGTCAATAGTAACTCTGAACGTGAATGGGCTTAATGACCCCATCAAAAGGCGCAGGGTTTCAGACTGGATAAAAAAGTAGGACCCATCTATTTGCTGCCTACAAGAGACTCATTTTAGACAGAAGGACACCTACAACCTGAAAATAAAAGGTTGGAGAACCATTTACCATTCAAATGGTTCTCAAAATATACCCTAAAAACTATAGAACACTTCTGAAAGAAATTGAGGAAGACACAAAGAGATGGAAAAATATTCCATGCTCATGGATTAGAAGAATTGATATTGTGAAAATGTCAATGTTACCCAGGGCAATTTACACGTTCAATGCAATCCCTATCAAAATACCATGGACTTTCTTCAGAGACTTAGAACAAACTATTTTAAGATTTGTGTGGAATCAGAAAAGACCCCGAACAGCCAGGGGAATTTTAAAAAAGAAAACCATATCTGGGGGCATCACAATGCCAGATTTCAGGTTGTGCTACAAAGCTGTGGTCATCAAGACAGTGTGGTACTGGCACAAAAACAGACATATAGATCAATGGAACAAAACAGAGAACCCAGAAGTGGACCCTGAACTTTATGGTCAACTAATATACGATAAAGGAGGAAAGACGATCCACTGGAAGAAAGACACTCTCTTCAATAAATGGTGCTGGGAAAATTGGACATCCACATGCAGAAGAATGAAACTGGACCACTCTCTTGCACCATACACAAAGATAAACTCAAAATAGATGAAAGATCTAAATGTGAGACAAGATTCCATCAAAATCCCAGAGGAGAACTCAGGCAACACCCTTTTTGAACTTGGCCACAGTAACCGGAGAAGGACAAACAGTGTATGTTCTCATTCATTTGGGGAATATGAATAATAGCGAAAGGGAATATAAGGGAAGGGAGAAGAAATGTGTGAGAAATATCAGAAAGGGAGACAGAACATAAAGACTTCTAACTCTGGGAAATGAACTAGGGGTGGTGGAGAGGGAGGAGGGCGGGGGGTGGGGGTGAATGGGTGACGGGCACTGAGGGGGACACTTGTCGGGATGAGCACTGGGTGTTATTCTGTATGTTGGTAAATTGAACACCAATAAAAATTAATTTATAAAATTAAAAAAAAAAGAAACAGAGCACTCTAGGTGAGGATCCATAAGAATAAGAAGCATTGGTCAGAGAATGGAATAAAGATATCAAGATTTTGAAGTGTACAATTATTGGTGATCAGTAGTATATGCATAGGCAGAGATAGGATGGGAGGAAAGGTGCTTAGAAATGAGAAAGTCAGTGAACTTTCAGAGAGGCCAGATGTTGTCTCAGTTGTGTTTAAGGATGTTGAAGTAAGCACCAAAGGTTCCAGGAGTGAGACAGAAATGAAGGACTTGGTACAGTCTTCAGTGGACCAGGGGAAGTGACCAGAAAGTTAAGATGATGACAGCAACAAACAAATGTACTGGGCGGTATTGTCTCAAGGTGTGAATTTCAAATAGCTGGATGTTGGGAAGAGAGACAGAAGAGGAATTATTGAAAATGACAAACTGAGAGCAAGGAGTATATCTCTTCCAAGTCTCAGCCCAGAGAAAGGTTATGTTCAGAGAGAAACAAAGAGCCTCCAGTTGACAGGAAAATCAACATTTTCAGGGAAAAGTCAGGTTCTAATCAGAACATGAAAGTGAAGGGAACAGTGCGGGCATAAGAGACTTTGAAGATGATGGGCTTTAAATTCCAGCAGTCTCTCCAGAACATTTTGGGAGAGTGAGATGAGGAAGACAGATTAAGCACATCGTAGTTAATGAAAAGCCTAGAGGACAGGATCAGCCCCAAAAACTGGGATCCTGAGGGCCTCTTATAAGAGACAAATTAAAGCAGAAAGTCATGGAGACATGAGGCCACTGACTTCTGAGCAGTTCCTCATGGTGCAGCAGTCAAAGAGACAAATTGCTCTTTAACAGGAATGTTTTCCTGGGCCTTCCCACAGAGGGGTCTCTGGCTCTGCTCACCATTCCAGGGAAACCCTGAGCCACTCTCCCACCCTTTTCTGCTCTGGCCATGATGGGATTTTCTCAGTGCTTCAAAGACACCATGTTTCCTCCCACCTCAGTACATACATTGAACCATGTGATCCTCCACTTTCTTCCTCTGAGGAACTCTTACCCTTCAGCTTTTCATCTAGGTATGATTTCTTCTTTTACCCCAATTCCACACTTCCACAGCACTTTCTAACTCTTCATGAAATATTTCTGCCTAATTAGAGTTTTCAACACTGAACTGTATGCTCTGTGATGGCAGAGACTACATTTTCTTCTCTTCCTCATCCTCCTGCCTGCAGTATAAATTTGTGCCTACAGGCACTCAGTCACTATCTACGGAAAGACTGATTGGAGAATGAGGCATTCCAGAGTAAAATACCATTAGCTTAAGAGACAAAACAATCAGGGTGGATTCTTTACTTGGTTCCTTATTTACTTTAACATGTTGGGATATCACTTAACTACTCCTAATTAATTAGCAAGTTTATCAGGGTATTACTCATGTTCAAGCGATCCTTCTGGTATTTTTCACATAGGCTGCTATTGACACAGGTCTCCTTATTTTTTCCTGTGAAAGAAGACTGGAATATGTAAATTAAGCCATCATCCAAACTTCATTTTGTAGTCTTATTTTAAACTCATTCCTTAGATTTGAAGATATAAAATCTCAGTAACAACATTCCACAGGACTGGGACAGACACAGGGAAACAGACAGTAAGTTACCTGCACACGAGATATAAGCTTCCTCTCTTGAAGAGCATGAGTTGTGTCTCCAGGGGTCAGAAGGACATTGCCAGAGAGAGGAATCAGTTTTCCGACACTCGATTTGATCCACCCATCGAAGTCTAGAACCTTCCCTGGGAACTATGGAAGAGTTGAGGGTCCCACTGTCTCCACAGCCAAGCTGTCTACAGATGATGGACAGAGTCATGGCCGCCATGGGGCTGTGGCAGACACTGCCCCAGGTCCCATTGTAGAAAACTTCCAGCCACCCAGCACACTCCTGGTCCTCGCTCACCATCCTGAGTTTCAGGAAGTCTAAATTGAAAGGGGTGAGAAGGGGAAACAATCCACAATAAGCATTCCATTCAATGCTCTTGATTTTTTTTTCTCCATGCCAGAGATTGTGAACACTCATCACTGACTCTGCTGAGTAAGCACACATTAGGTGGTAAGACTGAAATTGGTCTCCCTTTTACCTGATTTTGTGTGTTTGTGTCTGTGTTTCTTTTTTTTAAGATTTTATTTATTTATTCATGATAGACATAGAGAGAGAGACAAGCAGAGACACAGGCAGAGGGAGAAGCAGGCTCCATCCAGGGAGCCTGATGTGAGACTCGATCCCGGGACTCCAGGATCATGCCCTGGGCCAAAGGCAGGCACTAAACCGCTGAGCCACCCAGGGATCCCCTATGTCTGTGTTTCTATGTCCACCACAATGATGCAGTAGAATATGATCAGAGAGGGATACCCACCTGGGCACTTTACACAGAGGGAAAGCTGAATCTTGCTTCCTGGAAAGACTTCTGAAAGAGTATGTGAAAGTGGGGAGGTAGGCAGAAAAGTGGCCCCCCAAAGGTGTTGCATAAATGTGCTACTTTACATGGCAAAGGAGACTTTACAGATGTGATTCAGATAAGGACCTTGGGATGGTGAGATTAACCTGGAGTAGTGTGGGTTAACCAGGTGAAAATCCAATCACATCCTTAGACCTACTCTCCTTAAAAAATGGGAAATCTTTCCCAGCTTCAGTCAGAAGGAAATGTAACTGTGGAAGAATGGTCAGAAGCAGGCAACATTGTCAGCTTGAAGGGAAAAAAAGGGAGCCAGTGAATGCACAGGGCCTTAAGAAACTGGAAAAGATAGGGACAAGGAATCTCCCCTAGGGCCCCCAGAAAGAATGCAGTCCTGTCCACACCTTGATTTTAGCACAGTGAGACCCTTGTTGGACTTCTAGCATACAAAACTGTGCATTAATAAATTTGTGTTGTTTCTACCACTAAGTATGTGGTAATGCATTTCAACAGCAATAGGATCTCAAGACTTTACCACCATAGTGAACTGAAGAATGAGCCCTGCTTTTGAATGGAAGTCACCTGAACCTCAGCTGTGGGAGGAAAAGAAAGCACCTAATCTTCACATCTAGAAAGACAGGCAGTGTAGAAGGAAGGTTTCTTCTTCTCTGGCCCTCTCAGCGACACCCCTCTGGGCTCAGACTCCCCTTCTCCAGAGCCCCCACCTCCTCACCCAACCCATGGACAGGGCGCGGGCAGACCTGAGCAGATGACCCCTGCGTCCTCCTTGTGCCTGCAGTTGTGCTGCCCCCAGCCCTGGGAGCGGCACTTCCAAATGTAGGATTCCTTTCCAGTGCACTGCACGTCATCCAGCCAGATTGGGTCTGATCCCGCCCCGAAGTAAGCAGAGACTGTGGCATTGAGAGCTTCTCCGCAGCCCAGCTGTCTGCACACCACGTGGGCATCGTCCAGGTCCCAGTTGTCATCACAGACGGTGCCCCAGGAGCCCCGGTGAAGGATCTCCACTCTGCCAGCGCAGGGACCACCCCCGTCCACTAGGCGGAGCTGTCTGCTCTCTAAGGAGAGAGAATCATACCATTGGCGCGTTTAACAGGAAATGAGAAGGGCCTTCTGGTCCCTTGGGACCCCTCACCTGAGCAGCTGGTAGTACTCTCCTCAGACACAGAGTCGTTGCACTGGGGCAGCACCTGGGTCTGGTTTCCTGCAGAAACAGCATGGTCAGAGGGTTAGTAGGGTTGAAAAACAGGAAACTGAATTAAACTAAATAGTAACCTAGTGCCGGGGTCTGAGATGAAAGCTGTTAACATACCAGTAAAGTTCCCATAATTTCATATTTCACCTCTTTATGGAAAGTTCTGCTTCTAACAATGCCAAAATTTGTTTCAAGCCAAGTGCTGCACTAAGAATGAATTTTAAGAAGTAGGAATATATCAATACTGCTTGAAAATGGTGAAGAGCTACCAAGGCAGTGCAAATTTTTGAAGCCAAAGTCTGAGAGTAAAGTAAAGGGCAGAGGTGAGTCACTTTCTCCTTGAGGTCTTTGTCAATTCAAAGATTATAGATGAGATGCTGAAAAGTTCAGCAGAGGTTTTGCCAGACTCATAGGGCACCGGGAGTACAAAGTATAATTCAAGGTCAGCCAAGGAGGAGACACCCTGTTAACCAGAACCTTCTACCATAGAAGGAAAAGTGAACTAAAAGTAGACTATTCCTCATAAGGATAGACACCCAATGTCTAATTACTTCAATTCCGGAGGGAGGGGCAAGATGGCGGAAGAGCAGGGTCCCCAAATCACCTGTCCCCACCAAATTACCTAGATAACCTTCAAATCATCCTGAATATCTACGAATTCGGCCTGAGATGTAAAGAGAGACCAGCTGGAACGCTACAGTGAGAAGAGTTCGCGCTTCTATCAAGGTAGGAAGACGGGGAAAAAGAAATAAAGGAACAAAAGGCCTCCGAGGGGGAGGGGCCCCGCGAGGAGCCGGGCTGAGGCCGGGGCGAGTGTCCCCAGGACAGGAGAGCCCCGTCCCCGTCCCGGAGGAGCAGGAGCTGCACCAACCTTCCCGGGGGAAAGGGGCTCGCAGGGAGCTGGAGCAGGACCCAGGAGGGCGGGGATGCCCTCGGGCTCCCGGGGACACTAACAGGCACCTGCGAGCGCAGGAGAGTGCGCCGAGCTCCCTAAGGGCTGCAGCGACCGCACAGCGGACCGGAGCCGGAGCAGCTCGGAGGGCTCGGGAGCCGCTCCAGGGAGGGAGCTGCGGGGCGGGAGCGCGAATCCACCAGCGCAGGCCCCGGAGCACAGGGCGCCGGGACACAGCCCAGGATCCCGCCTCCCCCTGGGACAGGCAGAGGCCGGGAGGGCCCAGGACAGCGAGGACGCTCCTGCCCCGAGCTGAGCAGATCAGCGGCCCCGCCCCGGAGCCTCCAGGCCCTGCAGACGGAGAACCGAGAGCCCCGAGCCCCGTTGTTCCTGCGGAGGCTGAATCCAGGCTTCCAGAGTTGCCATAGCAACTGCGGCTGATCCTCCTGGGGCCCCACGGGGTGAACAACCCCCGCTGAGCCCTGCAGCAGGCAGGGGCAGAGCAGCTCCCCCAAGTGCTAACACCTGAGAATCAGCACAGCAGGCCCCTCCCCCAGAAGACCAGCTGGACGGACCAGTGATACTCCCCCGTGTTCCAATACAACTTGTTTTTGGCCACTCTGCACTGAGCAAAATGACTAGAAGGAAAACCTCACCTCAAAAGAAAGAATCAGAAACAGCCCTCTCTCCCACAGAGTTACAGAATCTGGATTACACTTCAATGTCAGAAAGCCAATTCAGAAGCACTATTCTACAGCTACTGGTGGCTCTAGAAAAAAGCATTAAGGCCTCACGAGACTTCATGACTGCAGAATTTAGATCCAATCAGGCAGAAATTAAAAATCAATTGAATGAGATGCAATCCAAACTAGAAGTCCTAACGACGAGGGTTAACGAGGTGGAAGAACGAGTGAGTGACATAGAAGACAAGTTGATGGCAAGGAGGGAAACTGAGGAAAAAAGAGATAAACAATTAAAGAACCATGAAGACAGATTAAGGCAAATAAATGACACTCTAAGGAGGAAAAACCTACGTTTAATTGGGATTCCCGAGGGCGCCGAAAGGGACAGAGGGCCAGAATATGTATTTGAACAAATCCTAGCTGAAAACTTTCCCAATCTGGGAAGGGAAACTGGCATTCAGATCCAGGAAATAGAGAGATCCCCCCCTAAAATCAATAAAAACCGTTCAACACCTCGACATCTAATAGTGAAGCTTGCAAATTCCAAAGATAAAGAGAAGATCCTTAAAGCAGCAAGAGACAAGAAGTCCCTGACTTTCATGGGGAGGAATATTAGGGTAACAGCAGACCTCTCCACAGAGACCTGGCAGGCCAGAAAGGGCTGGCAGGATATATTCAGGGTCCTAAATGAGAAGAACCTGCAACCAAGAATACTTTATCCAGCAAGGCTCTCATTCAAAATGGAAGGAGAGATAAAGAGCTTCCAAGACAGGCAGGAACTGAAAGAATATGTGACCTCCAAACCAGCTCTGCAAGAAATTTTAAGGGGGACTCTTAAAACTCCCCTTTAAGAAGAAGTTCAGTGGAACAATCCACAAAAACAAGGACTAAATAGATATCATGATGACACTAAACTCATATCTGTCAATAGTAACTCTGAACGTGAATGGGCTTAATGACCCCATCAAAAGGCGCAGGGTTTCAGACTGGATAAAAAAGCAGGACCCATCTATTTGCTGTCTACAAGAGACTCATTTTAGACAGAAGGACACCTACAACCTGAAAATAAAAGGTTAGAGAACCATTTACCATTCAAATGGTTCTCAAAATATACCCTAAAAACTATAGAACACTTCTGAAAGAAATTGAGGAAGACACAAAGAGATGGAAAAATATTCCATGCTCATGGATTGGCAGAATTAATATTGTGAAAATGTCAATGTTACCCAGGGCAATTTACACGTATAATGCAATCCCTATCAAAATACCATGGACTTTCTTCAGAGACTTAGAACAAATTATTTTAAGATTTGTGTGGAATCAGAAAAAACCCCAAACAGCCAGGGGAATTTTAAAAAAGAAAACCGTATCTGGGGGCATCACAATGCCAGATTTCAGGTTGTACTACAAAGCTGTGGTCATCAAGACAGTGTGGTACTGGCACAAAAACAGACACATAGATCAATGGAACAGAATAGAGAACCCAGAAGTGGACCCTGAACTTTATGGTCAACTAATATACGATAAAGGAGGAAAGACGATCCACTGGAAGAAAGACAGTCTCTTCAATAAATGGTGCTGGGAAAATTGGACATCCACATGCAGAAGAATGAAACTGGACCACTCTCTTGCACCATACACAAAGATAAACTCAAAATAGATGAAAGATCTAAATGTGAGACAAGATTCCATCAAAATCCCAGAGGAGAACTCAGGCAACACCCTTTTTGAACTTGGCCACAGTAACCGGAGAAGGACAAACAGTGTATGTTCTCATTCATTTGGGGAATATGAATAATAGTGAAAGGGAATATAAGGGAAGGGAGAAGAAATGTGTGAGAAATATCAGAAAGGGAGACAGAACATAAAGACTTCTAACTCTGGGAAATGAACTAGGGGTGGTAGAGGGGGAGGAGGGCGGGGGGTGGGGGTGAATGGGTGACGGGCACTGAGGGGGACACTTGACGGGATGAGCACTGGGTGTTATTCTGTATGTTGGTAAATTGAACACCAATAAAAATTAATTTATAAAAAATAAAAAAATAAAAAAAAAATAATTACTTCAATTCCTTTGTATAAGGTCATCCATCCAGGGGCACATGGGTGGCTCTATTGCATAAGTGTCTGACTCTTAGTTGTGGCTCAGGTCATGATCTCAGTGTTATGAGACTGAACCTCATGTCCGGCACCCTGCTCAGAGTCTGCTTGAGATTCTTTCTCTCCCTCTGTCCCTTGCCCTACTCACAAGCTCTCTCTTTCTCTCTCTAATAAATAAATAAAATCTTTTTAAAACCCCAAAATTTAAATAAGTAAATAATAAAGTGATCTGTCCATAAACAGGTTCCAGGAGGAAGCAAAATAAAATCCTTTCTGAAGAATTTCTGTAATTTTTCACCCACGATGCCTGCCAATCAAAAATACCCAGACATAGGGGCACCTGCCTGGCTCACTTAGTAAAGCATGCAACTCTTGATCTAGGGTCATGAGTTTGAGCCCCACATTGGAGTTAGAGATTACACTGAAAAAAGGTTAAAACTTAAAAAAAAAAAAAAAGATTTGACAAAAATCCAGGAGGATAAAAGAGGAATTGGAAAGAAATTTGCAAGGCATCCAGATATTAGAGTAACCTGACAAGGAGTTTAAACTACCATGACTGAAATATTCAGGGAATTAAACAAGATAGCATTTTGAAAGGAAAATATTAACAAAAATCAAATAAAAATTCTAGATACTCTGAAAAGTCAAGAACTGAAATAACTCAAGGGTTGAGTATAATAGCCCATTAGATCAGCACAAGATAGAATAATAAAATGGAAAATCAAAAGGAAATACACAGAATGAAGCCCAGAAAGACCAGAAAGTGGAAAATATAAACAAGAACATAAAGACATGCTGAAAAGTTCTAACATTCATATATACTTAGTCCTAGATACATAAAGGCACAATTGACAGAACTGAAAGTAGAAATTTAAAAACCCACAATCACCTATTTCATATATCTTGCTGTTTTTTTAACATACCCCAAAATCTTTGATACTGCATCCTTTGATAGGTGGGCATCTCTGCTTCCTTCCTTTGAATTTTGGCCTTCATAAATTGTAAGCAACGGAATGCAGTGAAAGTAATACTACTTGACTCTGAAAACTAGATCAGAAAGGTCATGTAGCCTCCCATTAACTAACTTAGGAGAGTTGCTTCTGGGGAAATCTACCCTGAGGAGACTACCACGCTAAAGAGACTAATCATATGCAGGTGCTCTGTCAACAACCCAGCTGCACATTCCAGCTGCCAGACATGTCAATGAACCATACTGGTTTCCCAGCTCAGTTGAGTCTACCGATGACTTCAGCCTCAGCTGATATATGAATGCAATTTCATACAGACCCCAACAGAGAACTGCCAATTGGAGCCCTTTCCAAATTCCTTATACAGGAAATAATAGGCAAAAATACAAAGGAGTTTTAAGCTGCTAAATTTGGAGGGAAATTTTGTTATGCAGCAATAGGAAACAGAAAACTTATACTTTCCATATTATTGAGTATTTACTGAAGACAAATAGAATGTTTGTCTTCATTAGGACTTGTATATACATGTTCATAGTATCTTTATCCATAATAGTGCAATACCATGATGCCACCTAAACATGTGGCATTGTCTTTAGAACAAAGTAACAGGCAGAAGCTGGATGGCCTGGGGCAATGCTGTCAATGAGGACTTAAAGGAGGTAAGGAAAATGTTACTACAAAGCAGGAGGGGAAATGAACAGTGATCCGTGTTACAGAAATTAAAGTGGAAAAAAAAAGAAATTAAAGTGGTTGCTTTAAGTGATTAGATTTGGAAGAAACTTGTTATCCACTAGTCACCAGAAAATACTTTCCATCAGTCTCAGTAAAGCAAACCAGCAAAATCAGCCAGTATATTTACCTCAAAACCACGGAATACACATTATTCCCAGGGCATACAGGTCATTTGCCAAGGCTGATCACACGTTATACCAAAAAGAGAGAGAAAGAGAGATCTAAAAAATTTTCAAAGGGCTGAAATCATTAAAAATATGTTTTTTGAAAAAAAATATTTTTTGACCAAATGGAATTAAACTAGAAACAAACAATTCATACTATGCAACAAGGTAAGGAAGATTGGTATTCAGTGATTGACTTTGCTAATATTTTCAATTTCTACTTTGAAAAAAAGCCAAATCCCAATTTGCATTCAGGCAGGATGGGATCTAATACCAATTTACCGTGCTTCCACAAGATTTAATTCTGATTATAATTCTATGTAGAATTCTCATTATTATAAGAATTGGAAAAGTGTATTTGTTGGAGGTGATGATCTCAGAAGACTCTTCTGTCACCATCTTGGACTAGATCATCAGGCTTTTTTTGGTGAAAAAAGCTAATTCCAAAAATTAAATGGAAAAGACCAAGAATGATCAACATACTTGAGAAGAAAAGCAACAGTTAGAGGTGTAACTTTAATACATATCAAGACATACTACAAAGTTATAATAACTACTGAACTGAGGATTTAGTGCTGGAATAGACAATGAAACAATAGAAGAGAATAGAGCCCAGAAAGAAACTTAGACATACTCTAGACTCATTATGACAAAGGTGGCACTGCAGTGGGGAAAGATGTCTCTTCAGGAAAAGATTCTGAGTCTACTGGATATCCATATAAAAATTGAAATTTGACCCCCTATCACATGTGAAAATCAATTGGAGGACTACGCAGTTACAGGTGAAATAAAGATAACTAAACTTCTATAAATATCAAAAGGAAAATCTTCAGGATCTTAGGGTAGACAAAGTTCTCTTCAAAAGGACAAAAGAAGTAGTATTTGTATAAAAAAAAAAGTTGATAAACTGAACCTTGTTAAAGTGAAGAACTTGGCTTATCAACAAATACCATTGAGAGTAAAAATAAAAGGGCAAGAGTAAACACCCAAAATAAATACATACATATTTGCACCACAAGTCACTGTCACAATAATCTCTAACATCACTATTGTAATAATTAAGAACTGGAAGTAAACCAAAATCCACTATCAGTTGATGGATCAATACCTGGTCACAAGGTCATTCCAATGAATGACTTTACAATAATAATTATGAATGAAACACTGCTATAAACAACTATCTGCCTGAATCGCACACATAGTATGGAATCAAAGAAATTGGACACAAAATGAAACATACTATATGATTTTATATGAAGTTTAAAATAGAAAAAAACTATTCCATAGCATTGAAGTTAGGAAACTGGAGGAAAGTTAGGAAACTGGAGACAGGACGGGCATAGTGATTGGTAGAGTATGAATGTGGCTTCTGGGGTACTGCTAATGATCTCTTTGTTGATCTGGGTTGGGGTTACACAGTATTCATGCTACTGTGTTTCACCGAACTACACACTTACCATACTTTCTCTGTAAATAATACTCAGATATATTTAAATAATAGTGTTAATTTTAAAAGATATCCCTCTTAACACTCTTTGCCTTGAACTGAAAGGCAAACAATTAAAAGAACCATATTTTATCTTGGATTATCTCACTTTTAAAATAATTTTTCTATGCTCTCTACTCCTGGGGACATTTCACTCAAGGAGCATCCTGAGTACAAGTTAGCCCTTCCTCTCTTTTACCTGAGCAGATCACTGAGGCTGTGTTTCCATGAGCACAACCAGGAATGCCAAGGGCAGTCACAGAGCAATTCCACAAGAAAGACTCAGCCCCTGAGCAGTGAAATCGATCTTCCCATATCTGATCACTTCCTTCCACAAAGTATGCTTCTTTTGGAGTCGAGATGGCAACTCCACAACCAAGCTGTTGACAAACAACATTGGCATTGGCCATACTCCAGTGTGCAGCGCAGAGTGGTTTCCAGCTTCCAAAAATATTCATCTCCACTTGTCCCTCACACTGAGAGGTGCCATTTTTCATGAGCCGAACTTCTGTGTACACTAGTAGAAGAAGACAGGATTTCAGCCAAATCTCATGTTTTTCTTACCCTAGCAGAGTATGCAGCAAAGTTTAAGTCCTGTTCTGCATCTCACCTGAACAGAAAACTTGAACAGCCCCATGGTGGCAAGCACCTCCTGGACAGGACTTTTTGTGGCAATACCTGAGCTCAGGTTCCTGCCCGTTACACCAGAATTCTTCAGGCCAGACTCGTCTATCTGACTCTCTTAAGGACACATTCCCCTGGAAAGACACTGCTTTGCCACACCCCAGCTCTGCACAGATGACCTGGGCAGTAAGTAATGTGAAGTTCCCACCAGACACTGGAACCCAGTCTTTTCCAGAATGCACTTCTACCCGCCCTAAGCAGGGTCCATCGCCTCCAACTAGACGCACAAATCCTAAAAGAAAAAGAGAAAGCCAAACCAAGTTAAGTGTTAGCGATTCTGACTTGGCAATTAGAAGTGACATGTCATGAACAATGATATATGACAATGACATATCATAGATAAGTTTTTCTTCTCCCAGGCATTGAGAATGAGGAGAGGACTTAGCAGTTGGTGTCAGAGTGGGGCCTCCATGAGTGAGTATCTAAAGACAGATTATATTAAGTATCAGAATACTAGGAAAATATATTTTGGGGTTGGTTAGAGAAGTGAATTCCTCATCTGAGCCCAAGTAAACTGCATGATGTGTAGGCATTCTACTTGAGTACAGAGGTATGAAGAACAGAACCAACCCAGAGGGACATTCGCTATGAGAATAGAGATCTATCAGCCAGACGAAGTTAGAAAGTCATCCTGAGGGATGCCTGGGTGGCTCAGTGGTTGAGCATCTGCCTTTGGCTCAAGGTGTGATCCCAGAGTCCCAGGATCTAGTCCCACATTGGGCTTCCTGCATGGAGTCTGCTTCTCCCTTGCCTATTTCTCTGCCTCTCTCTGTGTGTCTCTCGTGAATAAATAAATAAACAATCTTAAAAAAAGAAAAAGAAAGAAAGAAGAAAGAAAGAAAGAAAGAAAGAAAGAAAGAAAGAAAGAAAGAAAGAAAGAAAGAACGTCATCCTGAGATTTGTGGAGCTCAAATTCTGGTTGGCTTTCTTTCCCAGGAACCAATCCTCAAGTGACTGAGGATAGGGAAAAATCATGAGGGCTGTATCCATGAATGCATGACAACCTATAGACAGACTGATGTCTCAAGATTAGAAATATGCACATTATAACCAATCCATAGTTATGGATTATGATTTTTTTCATAGTTATGATTTCAAATTTTATCTATTTGACAATTTTTCATGGCAAAATATTCCATGAACTTCTTAGGTGACCAAAGCAGGAAATAAAATGAGTCTGGATGTTAAGAAAGCTCTAATGAGAATGAGAAGAAAGGTGTGGTTTTAGCCATATCTCTTGAAATCCTAGGATATAAGAATAGCCACCTTCCAATTCCTGAACACAAAATAACTTTTCCATTTATCTGTATATTCTTTCATTTTCTCCATCAATGTTTTAATTTTTTTAATTTTTAAAAAAGAAAACATTAAAAACAGATGCAGAAATTAGGCAGATGATTGAATAAGCTGACAAAGTTTTTTTTGTTTTTTTTTGTTTTTTGTTTTTTTGTTTTTTTGCTGACAAAGTTTTTAAACCATTTTTATAAATATACTCAATGAAACAAAGCAGATTTTTAAAAACTAGAAAAAAATAACCAAATGGAACTTCCTTTTTTTGTCTTCTTTTTTTTTATTTTTAAAGATTTTACTTATTTATTCATAAGAACACAGGGAGAGAGAGAGAGAGAGAGAGAGAGAAGCAAGAGACACAGGCAGAGGGAGAAACAGGCTCCATGCAGGGAGCCCGACATGGGACTGGATCCTGCGTCTCCAGGATCACGCCCTGGGCTGAAGGCAGCGCTAAACCACCAGGCCACCCGGGCTGCCCCCAAATGGAACTACTAAAATTGAAAAATACAATACCTGGAATGAAAATTTATCTAGATTAACTTAACAAGAGATTAGACAGGGCAAAATAAAAGAATTATGAAGTTAAACACAGAACAATAGAAGTTTTCTCTCTAAAGCATTGAGAGAGAAAAGACAAAAATTGCATATGAAAATGCATTTCAAAATTGAATGAAAATAAAAACGTTTTCAGATAAATACAAAATTATAGAATTTGAGGCAACCAGAACTGCATAACACAAAAATGTTACAGAAGGTTCTTCAAGCTAAAAGAAAATAGTAACAGATGAAAATGTGGATCTACCCAAAGCTATAAAGACTACTGTAAATAGTCTTTTTTATATTTACCCATGTTTAAACCCATGGGTAAATATAAAAAAACTTCCTCTCATTTTTAAGACAGTAGAATATTTAAGGCAAATATAACAGCAATGTATTATAAGATTTATTTATAATATAAGTAAAATGTATGACAACAATAGCACAAATGACAAGAATAGGGAAATGGAAATATACTGTGGTAAGGTCTTACATTAGATATTAAGTAATATAATACCATTTGGAGGTAAAATATGATTAAAGAATAATAATTCCAACATTATGGTAAACTCTAAGCAAAGCAATATACCTAATAAACCAATAGAGTAAATAAAATAGAATACAAAAAATACTCAGATATTAAAATAGGAACAAATAATACATAAGACAAATAGCAAGTTTAGTAGACTTGAACTCAAGCATATCAAGAATTATATTACATTGAAATAATTTAAATACTCCAAATAAAAGCAAAGTAATCATACTGAATAGAAGACACTTCAATTATATCTCAATAAAACTAGGGAAAAATAGTAAGACACACCATGTTTACTGTCCATAAGAACATATGTACATTAAATATAAACATAGAAATGGGCACCTGGGTGGCTCAGTCAGTTAAGCATCCGAATTTTGATTTCAGCTCAGGGTTGTGAGATGGAGCTCTGCATCTGGCTCCATACTGAGCCATGGAGCCTGCTTGAGATTCTCTCTCCCTCTCCCTCTGCCCCTCCCCCACCACCACATGCGTGTTCTATCTTTCTCTCTAAAATAAAATTAAAATTAAAAAAATAAACACAAATATATTAAAAGTGTCAGGAAAGATAAACCATGCAAGCACTAATCAAAGAAAGCTGTTGTACCTATGTTAATATCAGACAAACTAAGACTATAGGACAAAGTATATATTTAAAAATAATGAAGAAACATTTTATGATGAAAAAATACAAAAGAAATCATATAATATCAAAATTAGTGGGATACAGCTAAAGCAGTGCTTGGAAGAAAAACTAGAGCTTTGACACTTCCTCCATGCATACATTAGAACACAAAAGAAAAATTAAATTTAAATTACCTAAGATTCCAACTCAAGAATCTACAAAAATAACAGCAAGTCAAACCAAAAGAAGAGAATGTAAACTAAGAACTCAAATCAATGAAATAGAAAACAAATACAATAATCAAGAGAGTTCATTGGTGATTCTTTTTAAAAGAATAATAAAACTGATAATCTTCTAGTAGACCTGATCAAGAAAAAAATGAGAAGATACACAAATTAACAATATCAGGGATGAAAAAGGGGTTATCATTATGGATACTATTAATATGTAAAAGATAATAAGATATGAACAAATTTTATCCTAATTTGAAAATTTTATTTACAATAGGATGAGTCCTTGAAAATTAATTACTTGAAAAACACAATTTATCAAAAACTGATACAAAAAGAAATGGAATATCTAAGTACTCCTATATTTGTTAAAGAAATAGAACTCAAAAAAAAAAAGAAATAGAACTCATATTAAATTGGGACACCTAGGTGACTCAGTCAGTTAAGTGTCTTCCTTCAGCTCAGAGCTCAGGTTGTGGTCTTGAAGTACTAGGATCAAGCCCCTCTTTGGGCTCCCTGCTTAGTGAGGAGCCTGATTCTCCCTCTCCTTCTGCCCATCCCTCCTGGCTCATGCTTGCTCTCTCTCTCTCCCTTTCTCTTATTTTCTCTCTCTCTGCCTCAAATAAAGAAATAAAATCTATTTTTAAAAAAAGAAAAAGAAATAGAGCTCATATTATAAAAACCTCCCCACAAAGAAAATTGAAATGCAAGCTTCAAATACTCGCACTTCCACAGAACTCAAAAACAATTCCTGCATCAACATGGAGGAAGAGAGGGAGAGAAGAAAGGAGAAGTCTAAAACAGAAGCTGTAGTGAATATATGAATTAACATGGATTTTCAGTCCTCAACCTCCTCTCCTGAGGTTAATTGCATCTTCATCCCCTTACCATTTTGTACATCAGTGCTGTGGCCATTCTCAATTTGTGAGGCTCCCCCGCCATTCTCCCGAACCCTCTGAAATCTCTTTATTTCAAACAAGCTCCTCTGTATTCTTCACAGAGCATTCTTTCTACCACTGGATTTCTGCTAAACACAGTACTTTATTTCTAACCATCTACTAGATGCTGAAATTTCTCTTTCATACCCCTTTTCTACAATTGACAAAAAGAAATTCCAAGAATTTGATTTAAATTAAAATATTGCAAAGGGCATGGTTTCCTATTCTTATCAATGCTACATTACCACCATTACTTCTGGTTTACATCATTAAAACATGTTCATGGAAAATATGGAAACATACTAGAGGGTAGAAACTGATGACAAAGAGATTAGCCAAAGAAAACTGAAATAGTTCATTAAAATATGAGAATTTAAGTTAAAGCAATGGTAATGTTAATCAGGGAGTAAAAAATAAAATCAAAGTTTAGATGCCGTACCACTCTCAAACTCTTTTTATCTTTACGTGTACCTTAACTGAAATTAAAATCAAAAGTATCAATTTTCTTAAGATAGTAATAGATGTTCCAACATCACACACTCCATTTTACTCAAATACTGATTTATCAAAGTAAGTCAGGTCCCCTGTAGTGTTTCCACAAGTTTATCTGCACTTGATACCATGATTAGGACATGATGACAATAAGGAATGTTACCTGAAATGCCAGAAAACAAGTTTTCTTAAAAATATCCTAACTGAGGGGATCCCTGGGTGGCGCAGCAGTTTAGCGCCTGCCTTTGGCCCAGGGCGCGATCCTGGAGACCCGGGATCGAATCCCACGTCAGGCTCCCGGTGCATGGAGCCTGCTTCTCCCTCTGCCTGTGTCTCTGCCTCTCTCTCTCTCTCTGTGACTATCATAAATAAATAAAATTAAAAAAAAAATATCCTAACTGAAGGCAGTAAACTCAAATGCCCTTTGAAAATATTTTTTTTAAATAATAATAAAGAAGATGGGAGGAAACTTTTGAGATGATAGATAACTCTATGGCACAGAATGTGCTAATGCTGTCACAGATGTATACTTACCTCCAAACTCATCAAGTTGTATACATTAAATATGTACAGTTTTTGCATGTCAATCATACCTCAATATATTAGCTTTCAAAAAAAGAAAATAATTGTGTTTCTAGGGACCTGAATTCGTATTATGAAAGATCCACTGAAAAGATGACTTTTCCAGTGATCTTCGTCATGCCAATGACAAAAATGCTAACTGGCTATGGATTATACTGTTAAGTTGCTATAGACCTAGTCAAATGTTATCACATCTGTCCTATCACTCCATCAGATGGGATGGATCTTTTTAAAGACCCAACTACCTACCTTAAAGAATTCACTGTGACATCTGATAATATCTTCCTAAGTGAAACTGTTCTGACGGCATTAATGACAGACTTTTCATCCGCAATTGTGATAACAACTGAAAACATCTCTGGCAAATACCGACACCACCACTCTAGTTTCATTGCTGTCTTTACTGCCTCCACTTTGGCATATGCTAAACTTTGTTTCCCTGCACCTCTCTCATGTCCCCTCTTGTGGATGCACCTGATCATCTCAGGAAAAAAAAAAAAAAAAACAGCTACCACGATGAAACTTGACCCCACTTTCCTACCTTTTGACACACCACAGATATCTGAAGGGCCCAGTGATCCATAGGTCTGGAGCTTTCACTGTCCAGAGCCAAGCAAGTCCTTGTGCTTCCTTGAGTACCTAATACTCTAGGAGTTACTGTGTGACCGGAGTTTTCAACCAAGTGTGTGATCCTGTATTGTTAGCTATTCTGGGAATTAAACCAAGGGTATTCTTACTGGGTATCCCTCTAATAGATTAGACAGGCCTTACCTGAGCAGACTACTCCAGCATCCCGACTATGGGAGAAGAGTCGCTTCTGATAGTCTTGAAAAAAAGAATGACTACAGTCATTGAGAGTTGATTCTGTCCCTTTACAAACAATATATGCAAGCCAAATAGGCCCACGCCCTGATCCAAAGTGGGCCCCTCTGGGAGCATCAACAGCATCTCCACATCCCAGCTGTCTGCACACCACATGTGCAGCCTCCAAGTTCCATATGTAATCATTCACTGTGCCCCATTTTCCTTGGTATTTCACTTCCACTCTCCCCTCGCAGTAGTAGCTCCCATCCTTCAGTCTCAGCTCCATAGCTGTAAGAGAGACACAGACACAGAACACAGAACACAGAAGAGATTTCAGGAGACCATACAGTGATACGCTGGTAAGTACTTTAAAATACACACTCTGGGGGAGAAAAAAAATCCTCTCATGTATGGCATTTCTCGATTTCTATAGTAGCAATATTTTCACTATGGTCAATTTTAAGCTACCAATGTGGCATCACTGAACGTGGAGTTGAGAAGAGATGCACACAATTATTTCTCGAACAAGCCAGTAAGACTCAACGCCATGTATAGCAATAAGGACAGGCCTTCAGATGACTATAGATGCTGCCTTCCCAGTAGAGATGCATGAAGCTGGTAGGGGCCCAAATTCCCCCATCTCAGTTACAGTTCATGACCCGCGAAGTCAGTGGAAGAATCTTCTCTTTCCTTCTCTATCCTATAGGAAACATTCTCATCTAGCTTTGGAAGACAGGACCTCTAAACAGTCCGGATTATTTCTGCTTCCTGATATTCATGCTCTTATATAATCCTTGCACTTGAATGTGGTCTGAACCTAGTAGCATTCATCTAACAATGGAATTTAGCAAAAGTGATGAGACGTTACTTAAATAATCAGATTTCAAGATGACTCTGGTTTCTCTTATCTTGCTTTCATATGCTTGCTCTGTTGAAGCTAGCTGCCATATTTTGAGTTGCATGTGGAGAGATTCACATGACACAAATATAATATAAGCCATATGTAAGAAGACCATGGTTAATATCATACTCATTGGTGAAAGTTTGAAAGCTTTTCCTCTAAGATCAGGAACAAGTAAGGTTCCTTTCCTTACTTGTTCCTCTCACCACTCTTATTCCACATAGTATAGTAAATTTCAACCAGAGCAATCAGGCAAGAAAAAAAAAGTAAAAGACATCCAAATCACAAAGGAAGAAGTAATATTGTCTTCATCTGCAGATGACTTTACATATAGAAAATCCTAAAGACTTAACCAAAAAATCTAATCAATGAGTTCAGTAAAGTTGCAGGATACAAAATCAACATACAGAAATTGGTTGTGTCTATACACAAACAATGAAATATCTGAAAAAGAAATTTTAAAAACCCACTTCATTTACAAAAGCATCAAAAGAATAAAATTGTTAGGAATAAGCTTAACCAAGGAGGTGAAAAATCTGAAAATTGGAAATTATAAGATTTTGATTTAAAAAAATTGAAGAAGACACAAATAAATGCAAAGATATACCATGTTCATGTTTGAAATTAATATTGTTAAAATATCCATACTACCCACAGCCATCTATAGATTCAACACAATTCCTATCAATTCCAATCACATTTTTCACAGAAATAGAAAAAAAAACTATCTGAAAATTTGTATGGAACCACAAAAGACATTTGTATGGAACCACAAAAGTCAAAGTAATATTTTTTTTAAGTCAAAGCAATATTGAGAAAAATAAAGCTGAAGGTATCACACTTCCTGATTTCAAACCAAACGACAATTGTATGGTACTGGCATGAAAACAGACACATCGACTAATGGGAAAGAATCAAGAGCCTAGAAATTAACCCATGCAATATGGTCAGCTAATATATGACAAGAAAGTCGAGAATATTCACTGGGAAAAGGACAATCTCTTAATAAATAGAAACTGGAAACTGGGGAAACTGGAAGTTTACATGCAAAAGAATGAAACTGGACCATTGTCTTACACCACTGACAAAAATTAACTCAAAATGGACTAAAGACATAATTGTAATACCTGAAACTGCAAAACTCCTAGAAGAAAACATAAGGGGAAATCTCCTTGACATTGGTCTTGACAATGATTTTATGGCTATGACACCAAAAGCACAAGGAAAAAAAGCAAAAAGAAACAAGTAGGACTCTACTCAAGTAAAAAAAAAAAAAAAAAAAAAAAAAAAAAAAAAAAAAAAACTTCTATAGAACAAAAGAAATGGTCAGCAGGATAAAAGGTAACATATGGAATGGGAGGAAATATCTGCAAGCCATCTATCTGGTAAGAGGTTAGTATCCAAAATATATAAGGAACTCATACAAACCAATAGTCAAAAAGGAGGAGGGAGGAGGGGAAAAAGGGGAAGAGGAAGGGGAAGGAGAAGGAGAGAAGAGGAAGAAGAAGAAGAAGAAGAAGAAGAAGAAGAAGAAGAAGAAGAAGAAGAAGAAGAAGAAGAAAGAAAGAAGAAGAAGAAGAAGAAGAAGAAGAAGAAGAAGAAGAAGAAGAAGAAGAAGAAGAAGAAAGAAGAAAGAAGGAGGAGGAGGAGTAGGGGGAGGTAGAGGGGGACAAGGAAGAAGAAAGGAAGAAAGAATGAAAGAACAAAGAAAAAAGAAAAGAAAGAAAGAAAAAAGAGGGAAGGAAGGAAGGAAGGAAGGAAGGAAGGAAGGAAGGAAGGAAGGAAGGAAGGGAAATCTAATTTAATTAAACCATAAAAGACTCTTAACTATAGAGAACAAACTGAGGAGGGATGGTGGGAGGAGATGGGTTGATGGAGGGAGGTGGGTGGAGATGGTCTAAACGGGTAACGGGTATTAAGGACTGCACTTGTGATGAGCACTGGATGTTGTATGTAAGTGATGAATCACTAAATTGTACTCCTGAAGCCAATATTACACTATATGTTAACTAACTAGAATTTAAATAAAAACTTGAAAAATATTTTAAATGTAATTTAAAAATGGGCAAAGAATTTGAATAGACTTTTTTCCGAAGATGTAAAAATGGCCGACAGGTATATGAAAAGGTATCACAATGAGAAAACCACAACCTCACACGTATTAGAATGGTTATTATCAAAAAGACAGGAGATAGTGTTGGCAATAATGTAGAGAAAGGGGAACCTTTGTGCACTGTTGGTGGTGATGTAAATTGGCACAGCCACTATGGAAAAATAGTATGGAGGCTCCTCAAAAAATTAAAAATAGAACTACTATATTATCCAAAAATTCCACTTCAGGTATATATCTAAAGAAATGAAACCATGATTTTAAAGAGATATCTACGCTCCATGTTCATTGTACATTATTCACAATAGCCAAGACATGGAAACAACCTAAGTGTCCATCAATGGTTGAAAAGATACAGAAAATGTGATATAAATACGGATATACTAAACATGTATGCATTCATGGGTCTGTATAATATTAGACATTATTACTAATACCAAAAATTATAAACAACTTCATTTCTAGAATGCAAGGCCTTAGCTTAAATTTTATTTCATAAAGGAAATCTCTGCTTTTCTCGGCTAGAGTATGTAACCCTGATTGTGTCCCCACCAGTGGCACTTATTAGAGTTTCTTATAAATTCTTGTGTTGGTGCCCAGTCTCACCAGACTGTTAGCTTCAGGGGCCAGGGAACACTTCCTTCACCCCTTCTAGGTCCTCTGTACCTAATGAACTGCAAAGGGGATATATCAACTTAACAGTCCCCCCACCCCAGCCCATCTTAAACTCAATAAACATTTGTGGAATTAAAGTCTAAATAAGTCCAAAAAGGATACAATGGAAAGGCCATGGTGTTATTTAGCATGTTTTTAAAGTGGCATTCAAATCAGTCAGAAAAGATAAAAACATCATTCAGTAAATAATATTGGAAAAAATAAAGTTAGATATCACTTCCTATCATTCAGTAAAATAACTTATGCAGTTATCTAGTATTGATGTATTTTTTCAGATTTTTAAAAAGATTTAATTAATTTACTTAGAGAAAGAACAGGCTAGTACAGAGGCTGAGAGAGAGGAAGAGAGAATCTCAAGCAGATTGTGCTGAGTGCAGGGCCTGATGCAGGGCTCAACCCCAGGACCCCAAAATCATGAGCTGAGCCAAAATTAAGAGTCAGATCCTCAACCAACTGAGCCACTCAGCATTGACATATATTTTAAAATATTTACAAAATTATTAAAATAAAGATGCAACAATTTATTTAAAATTGAAGCCGAGAAGAGCTTTCTTAGGCTCTGAACGCAGAAACCAAAAAGGGGGGAAATTTTTATAGATTTGACTATTAACATCAGAACCCCTCATGCAGGGCATGATGAAATAAGTCAATCAGAGAAGGACTATCATCATATGGTTTCACTCATACGTGGAATATAAGGAATAGTGAAAGGGTTTATAAGGGAAAGGAGGGGAACTGAGCAGGAAAAATTAGAGAGGAAGACAACCCATAAAAGACTCCTAACTCTGGGAAACAAACAATGGGTTGCAGAAGGGGAGGTGGGGGGAGGATGGGGTGACTGGGCGATGGGCACTGAGGGGGGCACTTATGGTATGAGCACTGAGTGTTATACTATATGACGGCAAATTGAATTTAAATTTTAAAAAAAGAACCCTCCATGCATCTAAAAACATAGGAACAATAAAATAAAAATAAACTGAGGGAAATATTTGCAGCCTATTAATGGAAAAATTCAATAGGGACAATAATCATGAACCCAACTTGCCTGGGTTCAAATCCCCCCTTTGCTACTTACACCTGTCTCACCTTGGGCAAGTGATTGAACTTTGCTTTGCTTCAGTTTTCTGATCTATTTTTTGAGATAAAAACATCATTTGCCTTGTAGGGTTGTTGGGCACTCACATGAAGTCACAGAAGTGAATGCAGTGAAAGTATCTGGTGCTGGTAATCATAGTCATATTTGTAGTGGTAGTAATAGTACAAAGAGCTCCAATATAAATCATGACAAAAATGACAAACATCTCAGGTTTAAAAGGACAGACGTCATTAGCAAGTAATTTGCAAATGAAGGATTAAATTAACTAATATGTAACAGTTTTTGTTTACGACACTGGCCAAATTTTTAAAACTTGATAAAAAACCAATGTTGGTGAGGGGCTATGGAAACTAACACTCTCATACAGTGTTAGTGGGAATAAAACAGCGCAAACATTTCTGGCAGGCAATGGATCTTCATGTATCAAAAGCTCTGAAGGTATTCACAGCCTATAAAACAGCAATTCCACTGTTAGAATGTTATTAAGAAAAACAATCATGAAGTAATTTACATTTAAACTCAAGGAAGTTCATGACAACATGTTTCATAAAAGCCAAAACATTGAAAACAGCTAAATGCCCAAAGCCCACTGGCGAGTGACTGGGCGAGTATGTTGCATTTTGGTCATATAATGAAATAACTGGAAGCAATTAAATTTTTCTATAATACTCCTAAAATAGTCCATATTTTTGTAAGACTGCCATAAAACACTTTTAGTGTGTAAAAGAGGGGTAAAATGATGTCCAAAATATATTGTCAATTTTTAAAAAGAGTTCACAAAATAATAAACACTGAAATGTCCATCTTTGAGGGTCTATTGTTCTGTGTATAATGGCATAAATTGTATTTCAAAGGATAATCTTCTCTCGATGCCAAACATGAATTTTAGAGTGGAGACTCCTGTTAACGTGTGCCCAACTCAGAAATAATCAATGCTCCAAAAGGCCAGGACTATTATTTTACAAAGAGCAAGGCCAATGTTGTATGAAGTAGAATAAATTTTTAGCAGGATAACACTGGATAGTGTTGATTCTAGGAAAATAAAAAGAATGCTTGCTTTGGTGAAATATTCTTGCAACTTAAGCTACTATTGAAAAAATCCTATAGTTTCCTAGTAAGAAAAGGGGGCTTTATATCAGAACACTCATTGTCTCTCTCCCTCATGGGACTGAAACCCCTATCGGTACCTCAGAGTCATCAAGAGAAGAATTTTCACCAGCATCTGGCCAACACTCATGGAGCAGAAACTTGGCGGGATGAGGTTTCCCAATCCCCATTCCAATTCCCTTGGACTGAGAGGAGTCCAAGCTGTAAGCAGCCTCAGCCTGGACTTACAGCCAAATCTGAAAGAGTTGCCCCTTCCCTGGGCTCAAAGCTAGATTTTTTGCAGCCCTATCTCTCTGAGTCCAAGGCTCAGTGGAAACCAGCTTTCAGAGGGGGGTAGAAGAGAGAAACTATACCCTACAGAATTCAGAAAGGACCAGTCCAGGATCCCAGCAAGTCAGGAAATGATTCACAAGGACTGGGACAAAGACTGGGGAGACTTAATTTAACCAATGCTGTGCATCAGTTAATCTCTATCAACAAGAGGCCTCCTGTCATGGCTGCGGGTTCCTCTGCTCTACAACAGACACTCGGTAGGAATAAGTGAGGCCAGGAGACAAAGCCTCTCACAGAACCCAGCAGACACCACAGTCAAGCAGAGAGAAGGCCATGGAAGAAGAGAGGCAGGTGTGAGATTATCTATGATCTGGTTACATACGGGACATGGCACTCCCAACAGTGTGGGCACTGTGTGTTGCAGAGCAACCGATTCAGTCGCGTCTCAGCAGCCCTGCTCCTCCCCCAACAGACAGCCTTCATACCCTCTCATACTCATTCTATATGCACACACACAAGCATATAGCCTACACATAAGCACAGAAAACATAGAAATCCTGATGGGGTAGTCCTCTGCAAAGCAGGCAAATGGAGTGTGCAAGAAGCAGCCCAGAGACACAGCTGAGGTCAATCACTGTTCCCTCCCACACACGAGGAGCCACCAGGACCGACCAAATGCTCCCTGAAAACAAGGGAGATGTTGCTAACCTGGGTGGCTCAGTGGTTGAGCGTCTGCCTTCAGCTCAGGGCATGATCCCGGGGCCCCAAGATCAAGTCCCACATCAGGCTCCCTGCATGGAGCCTGCTTCTCCCTCTGCCTCTGTCTCTGCCTCTCTCTGTCTCTCATGAATAAAAAAATAAAATCTTAAAAAAAAAAACCGCATGGTTTACATGGAGGCTTTGACTCCCTGACTCCAGAAAACTTTCCCTTCACCAAGGTATCCATTCACATACTGTTGATCCCAGGAAACTCACCATGAGCACCCACCATGGTGCTGAGGAAGAAATAGAATCCCTGAAGAGGGAGATTCAAAGCTATCTTGATTCCCATGTCGTCAAGGTCACAGTCCCAGCTGCAAAATAACCCTGCGAAGAGGTACAGTATAACACCCGCAAAGATCTACAGAAATGGGAGGGGAGAATAAAAACACATCCTCTGACATGCTACCTCCTGAGAGCCAATAGAGACACATTTTACCATCTAAGATGTGATCGGAGGCTTCTTCTGCCATTTTCTGAAGCTCAAGCACCAATTAGATTCTGAATCTCCAAAATCTCCTTATATGAACAACATGGCCTTTTGAGACCATGTTTCCTTAAGTCTCTGAGAACCAGGCCCCCATGATAGAGGCTGACATAGAAAAGTTACATCAAAAAGTATGAGTGGCTTTCTCTCCCCTAAGGGTCCGGGCTGCTCGTAGTAGACTGAGATCTTTGAGGGCCAGGGTGCCATGGTCCGTTACCGTTTGAGAGGAAGTTTTAGGTGGAATCAAGCATTGTTCTTCCCTGTGACAGCTCATTGCTGAAGCAGAGAACTACAAGGAGGTTTGGAGTACAATAATGATTAGAGGGATGCAGTCAGTTAAGCATCTGCCTTTGGCTCAGGTCATGATCCCAGGGTCTTGGGATCAAGCCCCACTTTGGGCCCCCTGCTCAGTGGGGAGCCTGCTCCTCCATCTCCCTCTGCCCTTCCCCCATCTTGTGCTTTCTCATGCACATGTACTCTCTCTCTCTCTCTCTCTTTCTCAAATAAATAAAATCTTCTTTTAAAAAATATTATCAGAGAAACCAGCAGAAAATGAGGACCAGCAGCATGGAATTCACAGGTGAATGTGGAGGGTTGAGATGGGAATCAAGTAGAGGAGGTGTGATTATTGGTCTTCCTTTCTCGGAAGGATCTGGAGACTGGGGACCTGGAATACAGAGGGGCCCAGAATAACAAGGGGCTTTGACAGAATCTAATTTTTCTCCCTTTAGTGATCTTTCTTAGCCTTTAAAACCACTCTGCCCTGCCCACAAATGTCATCAGGGGCTAAATTCTCCTTTACTGGGATGAGGAGGGGCCGTAATCTACAGGGTATTTACAAACCTGATCTTCCCCCCTCTAATAGCCTGGCTGGTGCTCGGGGCTCTGAGAATCCACAGCCCCTCTGTCCCCTGCAACCCCTTCTTCATTCCAGATCAGTCTTTTCCTATATGCTCCAGTCAAATGACTGACCCACTTGCACCATTCTTCTTCCTGTATCCACCACCCCCCACACCCCCCTTTTGGAATCTCTCTAAATTCCTAGTTTGGTGTTGTGTGAAGTGTAACCCCAAATCCATCTTATTCTTGCTATCCTGAATACACATATTCACTCTCTTTTGATAGTTTTATTATTAGTCATACCAGAGAAAGAAACAAGGGGAGAAGGTATGAGTGCTCACTGAGGTAATACTTGTGAGTTACTGGGCATCACGCATAGCACACCATCAGCCAACATTTATTAACATCTACTCTACACACTCACATATAAATACCAAACCAAGGGCTTGGAATAAAACAGTGAACAGGACAGACACAATCCTTGCACTCACAGGATTAGTGTGGTCAGAGGGGCACAGTCAGTTAAGCATCTGCCTTTTGCTCAGGTCATGATCCCAGGGTCTTGGGATCAAGCCCCACTTTGGGCACTCCGCACTTACCGGGCTGGTGGTCAAAGATGTTACACAGACCAAGTGTATATAAAATTGTTTCACAACAGATGTGAAAAACTGTAATGGAAAAAATCCCATGAGTAATGAGAGGTTACAACATGGAGGAGGCTATGGGGAAGCCCACTCTTGCCAGGGAAGCCTCTCTTTGAAAGAGACATATCAGCTGATACAAAGTTGGAGTTTACCGGGAAACTCTGAGTCCTTCAACTCAACACTCCTACCCCCAACCTGCCATTGCTGGGATACAGTCCCTTTCAGAATGTTTATATACTGAAATCCTGTTCTTCTGGTTCTTTTTTTTTTTAAGATTTTATTTATTTATTCATGAGGGACACAGAGGGGCAGAGACATAAATAGAGGGAGAAACAGGCTCCCCATAGGGAGCCTGATGCAGGACTCAATCCCAGGATCACAACCTGAGCCAAAAGCAGATGCTCAACCACTGAGCCACCCAGGAACCCCTGTTCTTCTAGTTCTTGCTCTCATTTCAACCATATCTATCCTTCAACTCAACCCCTTTCCTTCCTTGAATCTTTTCCTCTACTTGAGATAGAATGCACTGAGAGTTGGAGAAAGAACTAAAGATTAGATCATCAAAAGACATATTTGAGTTGACTGGAGCATAAAGATCTGGAGCCAGGCTCCAGGGGGTTCCAAATTTGAAAGAACTAAGCTGACATTATTGAACTTGTGGAGAACGGTGAACGGGAGCAAGAGGGATGGATGGTGATGCTACCACTTTCTTCAAATGTGTAAAATGCCACAAGGAGTGATGCTACTTAACTGGCCCTATTATTTTTATGTTTTATTGTGGAACATAACTTCACATAGACCAATGCTTTGGTGCAGTCATGGGAGTGGAAATTCAGGAAGATCCAGCCAGTAAGTACCTAAAGTTGGGGAGAAAACACATGGAACTCCCAAGATGAGGCAGAAACTGCTACACAGAGGACTAAGCTGTATAATCTGTACAGTCTGTCCTGAAAAAAAAAAAAAAAGAAAGAAAGGATAACCAGTGGAAATCTACCTGATGGAAGAAAAATTGCAAACTACCTCTCTACAGCTTGCAGATTAACAGCAGAATGAGCTCAGTCAAGCTGATCCACCAATACTACTTATTGTCAATAGGTACCACTCTTAAGAGAAGCTATCTCTTCATCCACCTGGCAGGCATCAAAGCAAAAGAAAAGGAAGCTTTCTATTAAGCAGGGTTTCAAATTCACTGCTTCTCTTCCACTCAGTGTTATTTGATGCTATTTCAAAACCACACAGGATCCTTGCACCCCGGCCGACAGGTTGACAACTCAACCATCTTGCTCCAGCTCATTGATTATTTTGTCCTCCCTGTCAACCACAAGAGTATGAGTGGCACCCTAATATTGTGCCCACTCTGTTCAAAGAGTCCTCTTAACAGCAGACCCACGTTTCATTACCCCTACACAAGTAGATCTTGTGTAGCCCCTACACAAGTAGTTCTAAACCTTGGGCCCATTGCTGGTTTTCTCATGTGCCTGTATCTGATAGTGAACATAGGAGTCAGCCTACATCCTCTGGGATTAAACAGTTATTTCCTCTATCCAGCTAGAAAGGGTCCTGCAGTTCCTTTCTTGCTGGATCTCTTCTCAACACTCCACTGCTCCCCACTGCTGCCTCTCAGTCTTTACTAACAGGTGTTAACAGCTATTAATACAGAAGCCTCTGAAGCCATTGAGCCAGGCCTACAGGGACTCATAGTCAAGACTGGATCAAAGGTAGAAAGACTCATGGGAAGTCAGACAGCAGTCCCAGCCTTTCCTCTCCCTCAGGCCCACAGAGTTTAAGGGTGAGCCCTAACACCTTCACTTCCATAAAATGTAGAAAGCCCCCATTACTCACTTCCGGGTTCAACAATTTTTCCTTGGCAACCATTTTCTCTACACTCAGTCAGGAGAGGAGTATTGTAAGGCTGCTACTTTAAGTTTAGTGGTAAAAGTGGAAATTCTCAGGACTTTGTAAATATTTCTGTTCAGGGTCAGTTCATATCTTAGATGGGATACGGAAGGTTCACACGGCCTTCAGAACCTTCTACTCCTTACCTACTTTTGTGGAGTAGATGGCACTGGGTTAGACCCATTTCCTCATTTGGTTCTTGAAAGGTTTGAGATCTAGAACAGGAGCAGAGAGACAGACCTTGAGCTGAGAGGAAATGACTCTGTTCTTAGGGACAAGAGGGATGAATAAGTACTGGTGCTGCTAACACTTGTAGTGCAGGGAGAAGATAATGTATTAAATCATTGTCTGATTACATCTTGAAGTGAAAGAGAAGGCAAAACTACTTGAAGGAGGGAAGTGGTTAGTAAAAGGTTTAGAGAGAAAAGCAAGTTTGCAATTGCCCCCATGAGAATTCCATTCTTCTTATTATTCAAATTGCATTGTTTCATTTAGCTATTAGAACAATGAGCTTCTAGAGTTAGAAACCCAGAAATTCATCTGATGACAGACAAAACAAATACAAAATTTATTGAAAAGGCCTGAAGCAGTTCATTGAGCCATTGAACAAAAGGAAGAGCCTCTGGATATGGAAGCAGGGACCAGCCACTGCCAGGAGTTTCTGCATTTACCCCTCAGCTGTCCTGTTCTTGCCTGGTTCCATTCATTTCTACTGCAGACCAACTCTATCCCAGTCTTACCCCAAGAGGCAAAGGAGTCTCTCCTTCTAGCTGCAGTTTGACAAACCCAGAATAGGCCACTGGATGGCCTGCTTTAAGTCTTATGCCCATCCCTAGACCAGAAGCTATGCTCAGAAGGATGAGCTACTCTCTCTGGCTCATCCTGCATCAAGTACTCAGGATGTGGAGTGCATTACCCAAAGTTAAGAAGAGTAGAAAAGACAGAGGGATGGATAGGGGCATGCTGTGCACAATAAAATGCCAAAGTTACTTTTTTGGGTTCTCAGACCCAGTTTGAACAGAAGATCCTAGGGGGAAGAGCTTCCCATGTAGCACCAAGCAATTCTCAAACACCAGCAGGGTGTCTAAGAATTCAACTCCATTCTGCCATTATCTACCCAGAGACAGCATCAGATTCCACAGGTTAATGGTTCAGTCCTACAAGATTGCCCCTCCTCCCCCATCACCAACATACACACACCACACTCAGGTGCCGGTCCCAAGCCCAGGTTGTTACCTATATTCCTGACAGACCAGCTACAGATGGGTGGTTTACACAACCTCCCCCTCCCCCCTCCCAGGGTTCCTTTAATCTGCTAGAGCAGGTCACAGAGCTCAGAGAAACATTTTACTTACTAGATCACCAGTTTATTACAAAAGGACACAATTCAGGAATAGCCAGAT